CAAACTCGTTGAACCATTGTGGAAAGCAGTATGGAGGTTCCTCAAAAAACTAATAATAGAAATACCATTTGACCCAGGAATTCCACTCCTAGGAATTTACTCTAAGAATGCAGCAGCCCAGTTTGAAAAAGACATATGCACCCCTGTGTTTATTGCAGCACTATTTACAATAGCCAAGAAATGGAAGCAACCTAAGTGTCCATCAGTAGATGAATGGATAAAGAAGAGGTGGTACATATACACAATGGAATATTATTCAACCATGAGAAAGAAACAAATCCTACCATTTGCAACAACATGGATGGAGCTGGAGGATATTATGCTCAGTGAAAATAGCCAGGCCGAGAAAGACAATTACCAAATGATTTCCTTCACTTGTGGAGTATAACAACGAAGCAAAACTGAAGGAACAAAACAGCAACAGAGTCACAGACTCCAAGAAGGCACGAGCGGTTACCAAAGGGAAGGGGTTGGGGAGGGTGGGTGAGGAAGGAGAGAGATGGGGATTAAGGAGCATTATGATTATCACACATAATGTAGCGGGGTTGGGGTGCATGGGGAAGGCAGTACAGCAAGAAGACAAGTAGTGACTCTATAGCATCTTACTACACTGATGGACAGTGACCACAATGGGTGTGGGGGGGACTTGATAATATGGGTGAATGTTGAGACTACAATGTTGCTCATGTGAAAGTTTCATAAGATTGTATATCAATGATACCTTAATCTTAAAAATCTCACTTTAAAAAAATATAATACAAGTCAAAATCCAGAAATAAACATTTAATAGAAGACATGATCTATTTGTATCAGCACACATGCAAGTCAATGTGACTATTCTAATAATTAAAGAGTCCAGTAGCTACATATGCTTACTTGAGTACACTTATCTGTGTTATGATTTAAATATGCTCATATGGTGAAATGGTTAATTTTACAAACATTTATTTAATTGAATCTGATATTTCACATTCTTATGTATTTAATGCATTGACTTGGACTATGTGATTAATAAAATGTATGTAGTGTTTGCTCTAAAAAAATGCCTATTTTGGCTGTTTCATATGAGCGGGATCGTACAATAGTTGTCCCTTTGTGTCTGGCTTATTTCATTTAGCAAGATGTTTAAAGGTTCATCAATGTTGTAGCAATGTTTCACTACTTCATTCCTTTTTATGACTGAATCATATTCCATTGCATGGATAGACCACATTTGCTTATGCAATCATCTGTAGATGGACATTTGGATTGTTTGCACCTTTTGGCCGTTATGAATAAGACTGCTATGAATGTACATGTAAAAGAATCTGTTTAAATACCTGTTTTCAATTCTCTTGGGTCTATGCAGAGTAGAACTGCTGAATCCCATGGCAATTCTTTGCTTAAACTTTGAGGAACCAGCTGACTGTTCTGCCCAGCTGCCACACTGTTGTACTTGATGGTGGGGTGCTGCTGTTCACACCTGACTTTATGGCTTGCTTGGTTAAACAGTACCCAGTTCATGATGTGCAGCTCAGATCTTAACATCAGTCATTCAGTTTCAATCAAGGATCCATGCAAGTCCGGAGCTTTTCCTCCTAGCAAATTGGTTTATGTGTGTGTGTAGCTCGGAGCTTCATTATTATCCCAAATTCCAGAGGCCTAAACTGTGATTCTCTTATCAGGGCTTAGAAACACCAAGCACTGTGCTTCTTTCTTAGCAGCACTGGGTTTGACATACAGCAACTTGTTTTTCTCTTTAGAGGGACCATGTCAATATGCCTCAACCCATCAAATGTCCAGAAACTTCATGGAGGTGTTGGGCTCCTGAGTTTTCATGGGGCTTATTTCTCACCCTGTGGTAAAATATTTGCCACTTCCTATACGTTAGGCCCAATTATCATGATGTCATTAATGTAGTGGAGTAGCATGTCTTAGGGCACAGTGAGATGATCAGGGAAGTCCCCAGGGACTTAATTATGATAGTGTGCCAGAGAATTGAAGTGACAGTACCAGGGGCTTCTTTGTGGGCCTTTCTTTCAATAACTGTCCTCAGTTCCTGAGTCAGGAAGCCCCTGTGGGAATTTTTTCAGCTGCCAATTGTGTTTATTCCAATAATGCAATCAGGAACCAGGGAAAGAGCCATGGGGTGGGGGTAGCCCACAGTGAAAGGGGTGCGAACTGAGTCTCCATCTCTGATCAGTGGACCACAGTGGCATTCTATGTCCCCCAGGGAAAGTAAGAGGAAGGTTTAAAGTATATACTTGTAATGTCACTTGTACCTGGCTGGCCTCACCTTCACTTGAGGATGCTGACCTTATGAACTGACTGGGTCCAGAAGTTAGATGAGAGGCCATGACTTTCCACTGTGGTGATTTGAGGCAGGCTGCCATTCACCAGACCTAGAGTATTTGTTACTGGGGTTGTAAAGATCATGCATTACCATACGTGGCCTATTAACAGGACACTATGATCAATTAGCCACCACCAAAGATTTCTGGGGGAGAAACCACTCTGGTTCCAGCTGCCAGTCCTGCTGCCTATCATCATACTCATCCTGTTTCTATGAGATTTAGTGCCACCACTTGGCCTCTGCTGCTCCAGGATCCCATCATTCCTACTGAGAGTAGAAGCCTGTTTCCATGGCAACACCTCCTACCTCCTGTCCCAGACCAGCTTTCCAAAACCTTCACCAAAGTATGTCTCAATGTTTTGATGAAAGGAATGTCCTTTGAACCCTCTCAGGGGATGTAGTTAAGGGGTGAGCCAGTGGGATGCACATGACAACTCCATTCCAACATTCCCACCTCCATGAGTTTTGGGATTGGAGACAATGAGGGATGGGAGGAGTTGGGGCACAAGGAGAATTAGCATCCCCTTGCCCAATAACTGACAAGATGGTTTGCTTACAAGATCTCCAAGAAAGGCAGGATCAGCCTCATAAGACAGGGAAGGATGAACTGTTTCTGCTGGTAAGGAAATGTCCATGGGTTTCTGGGTTCCAAAGACACAAATTCATTCAAAAAGTACTTACTGCTAAGAATCTGCTAGGAGCCTGGGATATAGCAGTGAACAAAACAGGCAAAAATCTGCTTTCGTAAGCCCAACATTCTAGTGAAGAGACATACCGTAAACAAGGTACATTTAACGGTGGACTGAAGAACAGGTGCAAAAGACCTGAGGTGGGCAGTGTGCTTGGAGTAGTCCTGAACAGCCAAGAGACAGTGAGTGTGCCAGGAGGAGGGTGATAGCATGAATGGAAGGAGATGGACTCAGAAAGAGAACTGGTGGCAACCATCATAAGCACTTTGGCTTTTACTTAGTGAGATGGTATATTAGGTTCTTGGGGTTGCCACAACAAATTACCCCAAACTGGGAAGTTTTAAACAACAGAAATTTATTCGCTCACAGTTCTGGAGGCTGGAAGTCTGAAATCACTCCCCTCTCTGCCTCAGTCTTCACATGGTCTTCTCTTGCTCTGTCTTTTCCCTTCTCTTGTAAGAACACTTGTCATTGGATTTGGAGTCCACCTGAGTAATCCAGGATGATCTCATCTAGAGAGCCTTAACTTGATGACATTTCCAAAGATTACATTTTCCAAATAAGGTCACATTCACAGGGTCCGAGGTTAGGATCTACCTTTTGGAGGACTACTCTTCATCGTACTATAGGTGGGAAGCCACTGAAGGGCTTTGGGCAGAGGAAGGAAATAGCCTGACTTACAGTTTAATGGCTCTTTCCAGCTGCTGTATGGAGTAGACACCATCGTTGGAAAAAGTGGAAGCAGGGGGAACCTGCAGGAGGCCACTGGAAAAATCTAGAACCACAATGATGGCATGCACTACAATGACAGCAGATTCTGGATGTCTTTTGAAAACAAAGCTGACAGGCTTTGCTAACGGAACGGATGAGGAGCACCGCGAGAAAGATGAAGTCCATAGGAGAACCATCAATGAATACTTGAAACTCACTCAGTGAAGTATGTACCACTGAAGCATTACCGAATAAGGAGGGAAGTAATGAACTACTCATGGATTGGTTGATATTGCGGACTTTGGTTATGCATAAAAAGTCCATTTAGATTGTTATTATTGCCTTGGCACACACCACAATAAATTCTAGATAGAATAAAACTTAGGAAAAACAATCACTTTTTTTTTAAACCACAGTAAAAAGTGAAAAATTTCTTATCTTTGGATGGCAGAGAAGGAATGGAAAAGAAGCAATAGCTGTGCTCTTCTGTCAGCAGCAACTCATTAGAAAAGATAATGGCAAAAGATTCCATTTACAATCACAATAAAGAATTAACTAGGATCAGTCAGGTTCACAGAGGCTGGGTTACGAATCGCTGCTTGAGAGACAAAGGAGTGAGAAGGGCAAAGACAGAAGAGGACTTGAACCAGGAGCCGCTACTTCCTGGCAATACCACAGCCACTAAGTGACCTGACTATTGAGCACCTGACGTGGGGCCTGGTTGTGGAGTCAAATCGAGGTGTGCTAGTTACGTGTAATAAACACAACATAAAGACTTGGCACAAAAATCCCACTCATATTGTGCATTGCTTACATGTTGAAACGATAATATTTAGGATCGCTCTCTGAAATAAAATTCATTATTAAAATCAATTTCACCTTTTTAAGTTTTTTTCCAAGTGGCTGCCGGAAGATTTAAAAGTCCACAAATGGCTCGCGTACTCTATTCCTACTGCCCAGCGTCGCTGTAGTGGATGGGAAGTGCAAGTAGCAAAAGGCTTTTAACCTCTCTGTGCCTCAATGTCGTTTTTCAGTCGGGACTGAACCGATACCAACCTCAAAGGGTCGGCGAGTGAAAGCAAAGCACTCAACCGGCGCTCAGGTGGGCAAGACACCCAGCAAAGGTGAGGGAACACCGGCATGTCCAGGACCTTACGGCCCGTCGGAGCGGAGTGCGCAGGCGCTCCCAGCGCAGGCCTCCGGGTGCGGGCGGGGCCCACAGTGCACGCGCGAAAGCGCCACCGCGGTGCAGAATCAGCCAATGAGATCGCGCGACCGGCCCGCGCGCCTGGGGGTTCTCCCCCACTCCCAGCCTGGCACCGCCCCACTCCGCCTCGCAGCAACGCACGCACACGGCGGCGTGCGGGTGGGCGGGTCCTAGCGGGGCGGCCTGACGGCGGTGGGAGTCTGTGGTCGCTTCCTTGGCGGTGGCTCGCGCGGCTCGAAAGCTCTGCGGGGCAATATGGCGGAAGCGGAAGGTAAGGGTAGTTCCCACGCGGGTGGCCAGATTGAGGGCCAGCTCCACCAGCTAGGAAAGCTGAGGCGGGGAGGGGGGGGGACGGCGCTGGGGCCGAGCCCTCTGGTAACTCTACCCGCCAAGCTGGTCCCGTCGCCTCCGGGCCTCCAGCCGGCTTTTGCCTCCTGGCCTTGGCACCGCGTGTGAGGCTAAGAGCGAAGGGTCCTCGCGGTGACATGGCGCTGCGAGGCCCGTTCCTCCCGCCGACTGCACGGCCCTCTTAGCGTCTGTGTCACTGTGCTGGCATCAGCCGTTCTGGCGACCCCGCGGTTGTGGAGACCTAGTAGCGCTTGTGCCGGTGCCACCCCGGATGCCCCGGTGAGCGCCATGCGATGAGGGGAGAAAAAGGGACTGAGGGGCTCGGGCGTGGGCGTAGCTCCAAGTCGCAAGAAAGCTCTAGAGGCCACATGCCCATGAGGTCAGTTCATCGGTCACTTAAGGAACTTATTGGGCCTGCAGGCCAAGCGCTTCTGCGGCATGTGTAAGCCCCACTGGGGCCACGTGGTGACTGCGGAATGGAAGCCGACACGTGCGACTGCTGGCAGTCAGTTACGGAGCCGTGCAGCCCACGCGTTTGATCTTACACAGTTTGTTTCCCCAGTACTTGTAGACCGAGCATCCATTTTCTGCTTGCCCTGATTTCGTTCTCTGTTTTAGACTTTGCTGTCTTCATTTCCGGGGAAAACTCCCAAATCTTGTGGGTTTTTTTTTTAGTATTTATTTTGCCGAAGAAGCATAAGAAGAAAAAGGAGCGAAAGTCGTTACCAGAAGAAGATGTAGCAGTGAGTAGGACTTGACTTTGCTTTGACTAGAAAGAAAAGCTACACAGATAAAAATTACAGAAAAGAGCTGTTCTTAAAGGTTTATAAGGAATGGGTAGCATTCAGTGGTGGTTGTCTACACAACCCTGGCCAACCTCAGTGTCTCCTGTCAGGTATAGTTCACTAAATGGTGTGGACCATACTACCTGCTCTCCCTGGAATTCTTTTTCTTATCCCACCTGCAGACCTGCCATCCCTCTTTCTCTTTAAGTACCTGTACCCATCTTGGTGGAATGTCAGTTACCCTTCTGAGACCCCACTTTAGTTCTTCTCTTTACCTTAGAGGTGCCAGAAAACAACTCTGTTGTTTCTTTTGGAAAGCATAGACTCCCATGGTAGCGATATAATTGTTAGAAATCAGGTGGAAAGTCTAATAGGGGGTGTGTTTCTCTCCCATGGAAGGAAATACAACACGCTGAAGAATTTCTTATCAAACCTGAATCCAAAGTGGCTCAGTTGGACACATCTCAGTGGCCCCTGTTGCTAAAGGTATGTGGTTATGTGTCAGGTCTGTGCCTGGCTTCTACATTATTTCTGAGTGTTAAACAGTTCATTAACTGCTTAATGCTGGTATCCTTGAGTTAGGAAATGCCAGATAAAACAGTCTAGAGCAATGCTGAAGGTGTCTGAGGTAAAGGACCAGGCTATTAATTTAATTTCCAGTGCATACAGCACTGTTGTAGACTGCAGTTAAATGTCGCAACAATTAGTTCTCAGTTTCTAGAATTAACTCTGCCTTATAGATGTCTGCCAGTCTGTGGGCCACACTTGGAGTAGACTCCTTTAGTCTTTTAAGAACATGAACTTTGGAGCCAGACCAGTTTGGGGCAGGACATGTGTGACCTGGGGCCAGTTATTTCAACTCTGAGGCTGTATACTCGTGTTATCTTCTCTTAGGAAGGCAAGCTGAGGGCTGTGGGAGGTAATCCATGAAACATGTTCAGCCGTAGTGCCCAGTATGTAACATGGCCTCTAGAAATCATTAACTATTATGTTAGGCTTTCAACCGGCTAACTCAGTAATGAGTTGGATTACAAATTTCACAAAAGATTTAATGGACACCACTGATGAGATTAGGAGAAAGGGTGAGGGTACAAAAGTTAGCAAGATACTCTTGACAAATTGGTTTAATAAACTAGTATTTATGAATTAAAAGATGAGATTTGCTTATATACTTCAACACAGTTGAGTTTCTCCTTGGCCAGATGTGTGTGCCAGTTAGTATCTGTTTTGCTGTTGTAGGCCCTGGGGAGTGTGCTAATGAATTAGCTTGGCTAGGTCTCTACTCTCATGGAACTTAAAATCTAGGGGTAGAAGATAGATGAAAAATAATTGCTATTTGTGTTAAGTTCCATGACGAAACTAAACTGGGTGATATGAAAGATGGGCTTCAACTGAGGGGAGCTTTTTCATACCAGTGGTTGAGTGTGGCAAGGGAGGAGTGAAAAGGAGCAGACATAAGATGGGAGCATCTGGAGAAGGTGTTTGAGAATCATTGTTGCAAGTCCTCAGTTTGGCTCTCTGGTCCTTGAGAAAATCAAAGGTAGTCCATATTTTACTTATTTGTAAGCCTGCACCACAAAGCCCAATCTGTTCTGTAGTATCCCAAAGAACTCTGTTTCTAGAGGAGTGATCAAATGTGTGCTAATCTTACTCATGGGAAATTTTCTAGTATAAAGGCTTAACAGTCTGTCACAGCAGATAATGAAAACAGGAGCAAAATCCAAGTTCATGAACTTGAAGGGTAACCATGTCATGGTTAATGGTGCTGATTTGTTTATATATGTCAATAGTTTATTAAGTTTACTTTGTGTTCTATCTTTTCTAGAATTTTGATAAGCTAAATGTAAGGACAACACACTATACACCTCTTCCTTGTGGTTCAAATCCTCTGAAGAGGGAGATTGGGGACTATATCAGGTAGGTGTGTTGGGAGCAAGCCCTATTCAAACTTCGTTGTTTTCAGAATAACTTGTTGCCATTAGTTATTTAAGACGGTAGTGGCATCTTAGAATGGCATTGTCCTGAATATCATATAGCCTGTACCCATGGTGAACTAATACTCTTTACTCTTCAGATTCAGTTTTTATTGGAGGATCAGAGATGATGGCATGTTAATTTCTTTTCATTCCAGGACAGGTTTCATTAATCTTGACAAGCCCTCCAACCCCTCTTCCCATGAGGTAGTAGCCTGGATCCGACGAATACTTCGGGTAGAGAAGACAGGACACAGTGGTACTCTGGATCCCAAGGTGACTGGCTGTTTGATCGTGTGCATAGAAAGAGCCACCCGCCTGGTAAAGTCACAACAGAGTGCAGGTATGTACGGAGGAGGTTGGCTACTTTGAGATTGGAAGGCGTTCTGTGTTTTGGCTTTTGGAAATGATTTTCCATTAGTTTTAAAAAAGTCCTCAGCAGGGATACTCCTGGTTTCTATGTACCTTCTGTCATCTGCCAGATCTGGTAGGTCTGTTTCTAGCACCAAGGCAGAGCTGTGTCCGAGTGTAGCTCTGGGCTTCTCATTCAGGCTTCTCTTAAGTCCATGCTGCTGCTTCTGCCTGAAGTGCCCTTCCCTCATTTTCACCTGGGATAATTCTCCCACTTGATCTTGCAAGGTTTTTTCCAGGCAACACTGGGTGTTCCAACTGTCCTTGTCAGCACGCTGAAAGTTAATTTCCAACAAGAGAAAGTGTCTTCATTCCTCTTCTCATGTCTGTGCCATGAAATCTGTCTTGTTGCAAATTTCACAGGAATAGGTGGTCAAACTGCTTGGTTTTCCTACTGTGCAAAATTGTATTGGTATGGGCACACATAAAAATACAGAAAACTCAGTGGCCACACCTGACTACTCTTTTGTCATTTTTCAGGCAAAGAGTATGTGGGAATTGTCCGGCTGCACAATGCTATTGAAGGGGGGACTCAACTTTCCAGGGTAAGTCTGCAGATAATTGTAGGGAGGACATCTTTTGGCAACTTGAGTCTCTGAGCACCTAGACATCTGGGGACAGGTCTGCTTTTCTGCCTGGCCTCTCTCGCACCCTTTTTAGTGGGCTACCCTAGCCTGCCTGGACAGGTGACTGCAGATGACAGGGGCAGTTCTGGCCACATCCCTTCTGAGGAGAGGGTTCTGATCAGTACTGAGCCATCACTAGTTGAGGAAAGAGCAAAAATTGAAAAGGCATTTGAAATATTAAATGATTCAAAGAAGCCTTTTGTGTTTCAGTTTTATTCTTAAACTCCTAAAATATGCCCTTTGAGTTTATTTCAGAGAGTCCATGCAGTGAGTCTTTACTTTGGTTTGTGCTTTTCTTTTCTAAGGCCCTAGAAACTCTGACAGGTGCCTTATTCCAGCGACCCCCGCTTATTGCTGCAGTAAAGAGGCAACTCCGAGTACGGACCATCTATGAGAGCAAAATGATTCAGTATGATCTGGAAAGACGGCTGGGTAGGTTGCTGGGCCTGTGAGGAACTGAATTGACATGAACTGCACGTGGGTAATGCATTCTTGAGAATTACATTCTCTTGTTAAAAGAATTAGCATATAGTATGGTCATGGCCTATTTCCATCATCTCTAATCTCATGGGCTCAGATAAAGAATAACTCTGGGATTCTCAATTGGTGATGTGTTTACTTTGGGAAGATGTGCTACTTGTGTGTATGTGTGTGTCTTAGGAATCTTTTGGGTGAGTTGTGAGGCCGGCACCTACATCCGGACACTCTGTGTACACCTTGGTTTGTTATTGGGAGTTGGAGGTCAGATGCAGGAACTTCGGCGGGTTCGTTCCGGAGTCATGAGCGAAAAGGTAACACCATGGTGGGGCTAGAAGTTTTAGAGCTGGCACTTAATATCTTCCAGCCCTTGGTGGAACTCCCACTTGTCTCATGTTCTGGAAAAGGCCATTTCCAAAGTGTTGAGTTCAGTTCAGGGCAGCTTCCCTGTTCTGTTAATTAAGCTTTGGGACATTGAAACATGGACTAGGGGAGGTGATTGGACAAAAGCATTACTCTTTATTCATTGACCTCCCAGCCTACAAAAATGCCTGCTTAGATTTAAATACCTCAATACTTTAAGATGTCCATTAGAGGCGATCCTGAAGAGACTGAAGACTAATGTGCTCGGACTAGCAGACAAGACTAAATTGATTCGGTGTTTGGAAATTTGGAGTCCTTGGACAACTTAAGATAAAATGGCACAAAATAATTTTCATACATGGCTGCTTTTCAGGACCACATGGTGACAATGCACGATGTGCTTGATGCCCAGTGGCTATATGACAACCACAAAGATGAGAGTTACCTGCGGAGAGTCATTTACCCTTTGGAAAAGCTACTGACATCTCATAAACGGCTGGTTATGAAAGACAGTGCAGTAAGTTCTGGGTTTCAAGTCCATGTTTGGACAAATTGTGACTAAAGCTGAGACATGATCTGTGTTGTGAAAACTTCATTCTACTTAAAGAGATGAAACAATGAATTTAGGTTTATGATTTTCCTTTGTGTTTACTATTTTTTTCTGGTTTTGTAGATTTGATACTGGATTCTTCCACTCTTTAAATAATGGAAGCATTTATGATTAACTTTTTATTAAATCAAAACCAAATATTGTAAAAGTTTATTGCTAAGCTTGGTTCCATTTCAGAATAAGGTAAATAAATTAAACATTTATGTTAAGAGTTTTTCCAGAGTAAGTAACTTGATTCAAGAAATTGTGGTACATAAAATTTGCCTTCCTGGAACCTGGTAGTTCTACATGTGCCTAAGAAATCTTGATTTATTTCAATTATTGCTAGAAAAGGTTATCTTGATGGGGATAAAAAGTTGAGACCAGAGCGTTTCCGAGATATGGTATTTCTTCTTTAGGAATTTAGTAAAGAGTTTTATTCTGTTTAAATTCTAATTTGAAACAATGAAATAAATGTCACTGAGCTTATCAAGCCTTTTTTCTTAGTGTAAAACTAAATGACTTCATTGAGAGTAGTCCCCCTAATGATGCAGGTAAATAATATAATTATGTCTGTTTGGATCTCCTTAGTAGTTATTTATATGAAGGGATGAATTTCTCACTTCCTAAGTGATCCAGAATTTTCTAAGTAGGCCTTCTTTTCTAATGGTGAAAGTTCAGATTGTCTCTGTGGTCAAGTGCATATTCAAATTTTGTTACGTACTATGTAGCACTAAAAACTTCTCTAACTTTGAAGGTTGTAAGTTTCTACATAGATATAATTTGAGATTGATCATTATTCATATTCACATCTTCAATTACACAGATGATGTATCTTTTGTATGTTACAGTTTGTAATAACAAACAAAATGAAAAAGAGGTATGCTAAAATGCCACTATGATGATTGAAGAACTTAATCACATAGAACAACACAAATGTCCTATATATACCTCCTTATACTGGGGTCAAACTGGTGGCTTCTGGGTAAATGGAAGAGGAGGGTGGAATATGGTCAGCAAAAGAGGTCTAGGTTAATGAAGACAGGATGGCACGAGGCAGGGATGCTTTGATTGCCACTGAAATCAGGGAGATGGGGCACTTGTGTTTATTGCTCTATTAATGTGTCAAAATTTGTGTGTGATCGGTTCAACAGGCCTCAGTAATCTTGCTTATCAGTTACTTGGTCTATTATTACCCAGATCTCCCAATAAAGCTAATACGTTCTCCCACTTCTGTCAGGGGTTTTTTTTCCCCTTAGTGATAAGGGATAGAGAAGAGCAATCAAAGAAAACTAAGTCTGGGTTTGGGTTCAAGATGAAAATATCTTTAAGTCCCATGGACATAGGTGGAGTAGTTATTGAAAGTCCTCTTGGACATGCTGCTGAGTCAACATACATGGAGTGCCTAGCCTATGGTGGGGGGTTGTTCATATTCTCCATCCCTTCGTATGCTGGACTGCGAGCACTGGCTATGGAGGCTGTGAGCCCTAGGGGACGTGAGCAGGTCCCCTCTCCCTTGTCTTCTTTTGGTCTGGTGTAGGGGTGGAGGGTAGGGCAGGGGCTAGTGCTGTGGCTGGACCTGTCCTTGGTGATGCTACCCTGCAGGTGAACGCGATCTGCTATGGGGCAAAGATCATGCTGCCAGGTGTTCTCCGATATGAGGATGGTATCGAAGTCAATCAGGAGATCGTGGTCATTACCACCAAAGGGGAAGCAGTCTGCATGGGTAAGGGGGAAGTTGCCCTCATTCCTTCCATGCCTTCGTAGCCAGGCTTACTAAGAAACAGATCTGCAGGTCCTGGCCCCTTGGGTTGATCTAATTACCTTGGGGCCTGGAGGGGTGGTCACACTGAAGGGCCATGTCAGATGGGCACAGGTGATGAGGTAAGTGGGGTTTCCCCCTTTCCTACTGACTGCTTGTGGAAGCCATGTCTCAACAGCTTGACTCTCCAGTGAGAAGATGGGGAAATCATCAGTGAAGGGGAGTAAATGACTGTAGTAGTTGAGATGGAGAGCTTTTAGTCCACTCCTCATTTGCTAATAGCAGTTAACTTGTGAAATCTTAGGTATTATCAGACTGTCCCTTAAAACCTCAAATGCTCCATGGCTCTAAAGGGGGTGTGCATGCCATTCCGTGTGTGTGACCTGAAACCCACGCCTGATGTGTGTAACTTTAGGGTGCATTGTTGAGGGGTGCCATTTCCTTCTGGGCTGTTGTCCATGAACTTGGAGCCCTCCATGTCTGTCTTGCCCACTCATAGATGAGGAAAGCATGCTGCTTTGTTTTTGCTGCAAATTAGGCACATTAATGAATCACTCTGATTGACTTATTAAGAGGTGTTCTGAGGACCTAGGAAGGATTTATTGGTGTTAGTGTAATAGTACCAGTATTTCTTTAACTTGGTAAATTGAACATGATTTCAAAGAGTTTCTTCCCATAATGGTTGATTTTCTCCATATTAACATCCATAACAAAGAAAGCCTTAATAAGCAGTAGAGATTAAAGCGGGCTTTAAAAAGTTGTGTAAAACAGCAGAATTTGGGCTCATCAGTTGTCAAGTCTTTGCCCCTTCAAGTCATTCTTTTATCTTTTCCCAATGCCTGCAGCTATTGCGTTAATGACCACAGCAGTGATCTCTACCTGCGACCACGGTATAGTAGCCAAGATCAAGAGAGTGATCATGGAGAGAGACACTTACCCTCGGAAGTGGGGTTTAGGTCCAAAGGTAAGTGGGATTGGATTTGTACTGTGTCATGTTTTTTGTTTTTGTTTTGATTTGCTTTTTATGTTGTTGAATATTCACTTGGTATGTCCCCATTGCCACAGCCATGCCTTGTGCTGGGCTCTGGGGAATCTGCAGTGAGTAGAAATAGACCCATTGCAAACTGTACTTTAAGTCTAATGGGGTGAAGAAGATGGTTTTCACTCAAATTGCACGATAGAATGGTGAATTTCAGCCAAGTTGAGGTCTTACTGAGAAGTGTAGAGATGTGCCTGGTACCTCGAGTTTACAGTGAGGGTTTGACGTGGGTAAGGCATCTCCACTTGAGCCATGCCAGTGCAAAGGACGTTAGATGTTGATGGGGAGGAGTCTTACTGGAACAATCCTAGTACCTGCGTCAAGTATTGACACTACCGTGATGTCAAAATCCTGATGGTCCACTAGGCAAGTCAGAAGAGGCTGATGATCAAGCAGGGACTGCTGGACAAGCATGGCAAGCCCACAGAGAGCACGCCTGCCACCTGGATGCAGGAGTATGTTGACTACAGGTGAATGAGTCGACTGCACTGGGGATGGGAGGGTGGAGAGCCCAGAAGGGTAGATGCAGCATGCTGACTTACTGGATGAGTATGTCAACTATGAATGAGGACGGGAGGTCATGGTGCCCGGGTTGTCAGAAGAGGGAGGGGTTTGGTTTGGAGAAACTCGCTAAATGCAGGCTACCATGGGAACCCATGGGATGGCTCATAAGGCCGTGGGGGCTGCAGGGTAGCAGCTGGTGCTTCAGCCTTGACTGCCTGGGCCAGTTAGGGAATTGGGCCTGCAGAGCAGTGATCCCTTCTAGCCTGGCTCATGGGACTCTAGAGGGAATCAGTCTGCAACAGTAAGTGGTAAGTTCTTCTGTCCAGCATGGTGGACATGTGGTGGCTTTAGACTTGCCAGATACCATGGATTACCTGTGGATGCAGCAGTATCCCCATGGAAAGCTGTTCAGTGAATCTCACCTATTGCCATATCTCCTCTGCCAGTGATTCTGCGAAGAGAGAGGTGGTGGCTAAAGCAGTAAAAGCCCCAGAGGTAGTCACCGAAGCAGTAAAGGCCCCAAAGGTGAGTGGCATGCTGTGACAAGTTTGGAATGTGCTTTGGGAAATGATTGGCCTGTCTTGGTGACTGTACAGTCCAACCATGTATCCTGCCTCGGTGTGGTAGGGCTTCCTGCCCAGGGGTGTGCACCGTGGACACAGACATTGTATCCCATCCCAGGGCACTAGTTTCGGCTCACCAGACTCTAACTTGTTCTCTGTTGTCTCTGCTGGGAGGAGTGTGGGTCTGGGAATCAGACTGTCTCACAAGCAGAGACAACACTGGAACAGAGTGGGGGGGTGAACATTACTGTGGCCCCCCACCCTGGGTCAAGTGGCAGCATAGTTATGTTGAAATCAGAGCTGTCTGAAACTCAACAGGGAGCAAAATGACTGACAAAGATGGACAAACACCTTTAGGCAGCACCTGCTCAAGTATTTCAAAAATCAAAGCTGGTGGTGACAGCCTGGCTTCCTAGGGTTGGGGAGCATTGGTTGGTTTTAGAGCACAGAATGACACGTCTAAACTCTTGGGCCCTTGGGAGACAGAGTGACCTTGAATGAGCTGTCTGGGGAGAGCTTCCCCTGGCCTGCTTTGGGCCTGCCAAATGTGAATTCCCGATTGCTTGCCTTTGACGTCTTGTGGGAGCACTCCTCAAGGGCGTGTCGTCCTACTTTTTATAGTCCCCAAGCCCACACTGCTGCTTTGCGCTCCTGCTGTGTCCATGGCTCCCTGGTCTTTGGGGAAGAGACCATCTTTTCTTGGTAAACTGTAAACTAAGGCCTTGTGAAGGTGATGACTTCCTGTTTGATCCCATTAGGATCTTTTCTGCTGGCTCCCCTCCTTCTGACTTACTGAACCTTTCTCATCCATTTTTGCCCAAGATCTAACATTTGACTAGTTGTTTCCACCTTAGCGGAAGCGCGAGAGTGAAAGTGATGAGACCAGTCCGGGGGCTGCCCAGTTGATCAACAAGGAAAAGAAGAAGAAGGACAAGAAGGCCAGAGCTGCAGGAGAGAGGGCAGGCGAGCCGGGAGATGCGGTGCGCACAAGTGTCTTCAACGTGCTTGGGCTTCGTCCTTGGAAGGGACGGACTGTGCCCAGCCGCTGCTGCCTTGCTTGCTTGGGGAGCTGCCCCGTCTTCCAGAGTGCCTTTGCTCTGCACTGCCCCTGCGCGGTGGACAGCGGCCTCAGCATGTGATAAAATTGTTGGTGGCGTGTGGGGAGTATGTGTAGCTTGGGAATCTGAGTGGTTCTATCTAGGCACTATTTGGGGCATCACTGAAAAAGCTCGGGGCTTTGTGTTGTGTGCAGAATTCATTCAGCCGAGAGTATATTTACAGATCTTACTTGACTATGTGGAACTTTTATTATTTCCTTTTGGGAGAATGGTAGTGGTTCTGTTAACAGATGCTGTGAGCTTTCTCTTTGTCTTTCTCCCAGGACAGTGACACCACCAAGAAGAAGAAGAAGAAGAAGAAAATAAAAGTGGAAGTGGTTTCTGAGTAGTGGACCCCCACTTGAAGTGCTGTGTCCAGTTGGGAGGAGAAATTAAAGCCTTATTGAGAAAACAGTTCTTTTGTTCTTGAGGGAATGGGACACAGGTCCCAAGAAAGAGGATATACAGGGTTCCAGCACATTTTAGCTGCTACCTGCGACTTCAGTGATGTTACCTGGTGTGGTCATCCCATCTTGTCCTACTGTAAGGATATGGGTGAAAGTGGCAGATTTGACACCATCCACTTCTCTGCCTGGAAGAGTTGGGAAGCCTCACCTGCAGAGCCAGCACTGGCTGGTGACCACGAGCAGCTATGCCCGGTGCCCATTTTTAACATGCCAGTCCTCCTCTCCTTTTTGATTCCTTCCAGTTAATGTTACTAGAAATTACTCAATGCATTGGTATACAGCACGTAAAAAAGATGTAACGACCATGGATCTCACCCTATATTGCCCTCCTTGTTAAAGCCTGGCAAGGACTCACGTTCCATCTTGTGTGTGTCCAGTCCTGGCCTAGCAGGCCCCTGTGCACCTCCCACCTGGTGTGTGCAGCCTCATGCACCTAAATCCATCTGGCTGTTGTGTTTGCAATAAGCCAAAACCTTTGTGTGTGTGCTTCTCCTAGCCCTCATTTACTTTCAAAGGATAATTGGTCACTGCTGAGAAAGGAAGTTGTAATTATTAAAGTGTACTCAAGTTTTTTTAAGGTATTCCTGTTGGGTTTTCTAATTGTTGGTGATTTGGTGATTAATTGCAAACTGGTGGAACAGAAAAAGTATTTTTATTAAAAACCTGGGGACCTTTATGTCCTATTTGAAATTTGATGCTTTTCCTTTATTTGGTTAGTTTTTTTTCTCTGGTTCTATGTCTTGGAACAGTCATTATGGGCTATCACCTGGCATGGGATCAAATATTCTGGAATCTTCAAGACATTGACTAGATTTAATAAAGAGTAATCATCACAAGTTCAGCAATCTTCAAAATTATTGAGAGAAGAAAGGTATAAAATATTAGGGGCCTGGCAGGAGGTGGAGATGTTGCTGAGGAGTTGTTGGTACTCCACTGTATTAACAAGGGAGTGGAGTGTTTACTTCTAGACATAGGTTAATTTGGGCAGTCAGTCAGGTGGGTCTTCTAAAGACCATGTCCCTGAAGAGAGCTAAAAGAAGAGGCTGCCAGGAGAAAAGCTAGCAAAAACTGCAAGAAATGCATGTCATACCCAAGGCCAATGCAGGCAGATGATCCCCTCTGCCTTTGCTCTCAAAGTGTGTGTGTGTACAGTGTACGTATGTTCTTCCACACCTGCCAGTGCAGGGTGCCTCCCTACACAAACCATGGATACCCTGCTTTCACGTGGAGGTGACATTATTTTCACCTCTAGACTCAAGATTTACAGGCTTGAGGGAAACTTCTGAACCCAGAAGAGGCATCCAGTTTTGGTGCCATCCTCCAAGAGCTTCCCTTTGTACAGGCTTGTGTACGTAGAAACAGAGTTGCAAGGTCACTGGCATTTTAACAGCAACACTTTTATTGCTTCTGAGAGTTTCCCTAAAGCAGGCATCATCCTATTGCACAGATGTTTCGTTCTCACATTTTAAAGAGTTGCAGTTAAAAGCTTCAAAGTAAAGACAAGTAAAATACCCAGTGTAACTGGAGGTGAGTGAGTGTGGGCTTTAAGGGGACAGGGTCCATTGTTTTTCCTTCACATGTGTACCATCTCTGATTAGCAGCTGCATTTGGATAGCACTTCTGGCCCCAATTTACAGAGATCCTTTTGAAATCAAACTGAGACCCCATTTATCAAGAAAATCAGAGCCCAGACCTTCAGGAACTTGAGTAAGACTGACACCCACTGGCTTAATTAGGATAGTAGCAGAGAGCTGAAGGCTGACACAAAAGTGGCTGAAGTATCCCTGTTTGTCTTAAAGGGGAATGGAGTTCCGAACGCAGGGGAGGGCATATGGTAGTCTGCCCTACCCTGTTCTGCAAGCTTAGTAAACCCAGGAGACAGGCACCCACTGTGGAGAACTGCACGCCTGGTCAAAGGCTTCTTGCAATTTCTTAAGGGTTTCATCAACGCCATTATTGACCAGTGAGAAGTCAAAGTAGTGAGCGTACTGGCCGCAGATGGCTTCTGAGTCCCTTTGCAACTGCTGCAGAGCTTCCGTCTATAAGTAGAGAAAGAGCCACAGATGAAGCAGGCTGCAGCACACCCAGCTGTATTGTGACAGCCTTTAAGTGGGTATTGACTGTGACTACTGCCCACTCTTGAGTCACCCGCTTAAAGACTCAAACCCTGCAGACCTTGCCTGAGAATGTTAGCAGGGTAGAGCATGGAAAGTCAATCAAGAGCACTGCAGTTCTCAGAGGGTCTCAAACTAACCCCGATCACGAATAATCAGAGCTCTCAGGATCAATGGCATGGACTTAAACAGCATCTCCTAGTTCATGGCTTTGACCAACCTCCAGAGCTGCAATCCCAGGGCAAGAATAAGGGGGACTTACAACCCTAGGCCTCTGTGGGACCCCAAACCAGGTGGCCATGTAAAGACTGATAATTTAGCTCCACTAAAGTAAAAATGCAGAAGAGAAGCCAACCTGGGAAAACCTATTTGCAACTGATACCACAAAGGGCTAATTACCCTAACACAGAATTCCTAGAAATCAGTAAGAAAAAGACCAGTAACTCAACAGAAAAACTTAAGGACAGGATCCGGTAGTGCACAGAAAAGGTGATACAAACGGCTCTTAATAGTCTGCCAAGATACTCAACTGTGAATAGTAAAAGATAAGTGTACAATGAGATTCCATTTTTCCCTATTAGGTTGGCCAAAACTCAAACTGTGGATAACATGCTCCTGGCACAGGGGAAGCAAGCACTCTCTCAGGTAATCTCTTTCCCAATTCCCAATGTATGCAGCCTTGGACCCAGCAATTCTGCCTGGAATTTCTCCTAGATATATTTGCACACATGTGAGATGTCACATGTACAGGGCCATGGATTTCAGTGCTATTTATAATAGTCAAAGTTTTAAAACATGAAAAATAGCCATTAAGAAAGGAATGGTGGAGCTAAATAACTATACTCCATACACTCAATGGGAGACCATGCAGCCACTCAGAAACACTGAAGCAGCTCTCTATACCCTAATATGGGGAGATCTCCATTGTGTTTGGAGAAAAATCAAGGTGTGGCAAAGTACACATAGGGTAGGTGTGGAGTGGGTGGTAGGAACTAACCTCCTCCTGCCCTGTCTCTCCCCTCAGCCATGCCCCATGCCAGCCTGTACCTTCACAGCTCCTGAAACTGCACCAGTGTCAGGATGTCCCCCATAGTCCATCTCTGTCACTGGACCCTGCCCACTTTGGGAATAACTGTGTCTGATTTGTTTTGTCCCTGTTACCTAGCGTGGCCACTGGCCTAGGTAGTAATTTCATAACTGCTGAATGAAACAAACATGCATACGGCTTTTGGCTTCTTGGCCTTGCAGGAAGGATGGCAGTAGCCAGGAGGCTCATGGGAGATGTGGTAACAAGCAGTCTGGCCAATAATCTAGATTGATGTCCCAGTCTAGGCAGGCCCAGAGAGTGAACCCCCATTTGCCCTGCACGATCACCGCGTTCCTACCTGACTGCCCTGGTCAGTGGGTGCAATAAACACAATGAAAGGTGAAAGTTCTGCTGTCCGAACAATCTTCAGGGTCTAAAAGAGAGGAAGAAAAGAAGAAAAAAAAAAAGAGTTAGCCATCATGACAGATTCCTTCTAAGAAGCATCTGTGAGCTTCATCAAGGCCAATACTCTTTCCATCATTCCCAGTACCACTGTTTCTTCCAGGTGACCCCACCTGAGCTCCCTGAAGATTCCCGTGAGCTTTGCTCTTATGCAGCCCCTTCCCCATCCACTCCTGCCTTTCCATGGCTACCCACCTGGGGCTCAATGTCAAGGATGGCAATCTTGTCCTGATTATGAATCTGGTGCACTGTTTCAAATTTGGTGCCAAACATGTTGCCTTGGTAGCTGCCAAACTCCAAGAACTCGTTGGCAGAGATGCTCCTTGTCATCTCCTCTGTGGAGATGAAGTGGTACTCCTTCCCGTCTTCCTCACTCTTCCTAGGTGGCCGTGTTGTATCTGTGCACAAGAACCACCTCCTAAGGGCTTGGAGCACGGTGTCTGTACTGAAGCCCTCACTGCCTTTCATGCAGCACTTAACTCAGTTGGAAGGGCTGATGACAGGAGATGATGCAGACCAGGAAATCCCCTGCAGGACCCACTGAACTTTTAAGACGCAAAGCCCAACATATAAAATTCCTATCACCATTTTCTATGAAGTTACATCTCTTAAACCACCAACCCCAGGTATATCAAGGCTCAGAAATAGAGAAATGATAGTTGGAAATATTTTAAAAACAGATCTGTGGGCCATCTGCTTTCTGCCCCCATTGTGTCACTATGTCCCTAAAGGCAAAACAGAGAGGCAAGGAATAAAAAATACTAATATCAGGTTTGGAATCCACCTCTCTACTTTGACTTAGCAGTATCTCTTCCTCGGAATACACACAACCACACTATGCAGATCCACCTTCCCACTGACTGGCTCAATTCTCCTGCTAGGACAGCTGCCAAGGTGGTCTGTGCCTTTCCTGATCACCTCTTTGATTTAGAAGATATTTTATGAAAACTGGAGGCAGCCTAGACATCAAACAATTGTGGGATCGCTGAGGAAATTACAGTACAGCCACTCAGTGAACTGGAAGAGAGTTTTCAAAGTGATTTAGGCACATGAGAAAATGTTTATAACATAAGGTAAAATGAAAAAAGTAATACATTTTTAGGAACATATTATTCACTTAACTTTTTAAAACAGGATAAAAATGTCTTACTCTTGCTTCTGTTATGCAGACAAACAGCATAGAAGAGAACAATAAGAAAACAACATACTTTGTTAGCTCGAGTCATGATGGGTACAAATTGGTACCTTTCCAAATTGTTTTCTTTTTATGATCAAACATTAAAATAAAATCACCCTCTGAGGCCCCCATAGCTACTTACACGGGGCAGGGTATGCAAACTTCTCCGGGCTCTGGCTGAGCAGGGCATTCTTAATGTGGCTGCGACCCACCCCACTGGCTCCTGTGTAGGGAAAGAAGGCGGGCTTGCAGGAGAGAAACAACGTTGCTCATTCTGTTTCTTTACCCAAAGACAAAGGCGGGAACAGGAGCAGAAATGGGATATGGGTTTACATCTCTCAGAGCGCCCCAAATCGCCTACCGGTGAAAGCGAGCCAGTGTGGTGCCATCAGGAGGATTTGGGGCTCCAGGCCCTTGTTTCCCAGTTGGGGAGGAGGCTCTATCTAAGGACTAATGGTCAGGACTCAGCACATAACTGTCATTTACACCAAGGAGCCAGATAACACATGGCGTTTTCTGTTTGTTTTCTAAAGATACTTGCTTTACTGAACTCTCCAAAATGAATGGAACTGAATCGAAGCCAGTGTTTTTATTGGAAATTTCACTAGAACCCTAATACAAATCCTCTAGGCAAGTAATATTTTAAATCTAAAGACAGGAGCTGAGCCACGCACCTAAAAGAATTAATTGCTGAAAAGCTTAGATGATGAACCCAGACGGGGTACCCATAAGGACTCAGAGAACCCAGGGAATTCAGTCCTGTTTCTTTCCCACAGCTTTTTTTTTTGAAGGAGGGGGTTATATGCCACAGGCCGGAAAATGAGGGCAGAAATGTACTGTAACTAGCAAAGCAACATGGGGCCAACAAGAAGATACCGATCAGCACCAGGGTCTTCCTCTTGAACGCAGGGAGCCGAACCACTTCCTCGTAGGAAACAACGTCCAACTGGTCAAAAACTAGAGAAAAGGAAAGCCAAGCAATGGTCATTCCCAGGGCTGGGTGAATAGAGGTCCGGGTTCAGGCAGTGAGGTGGGAGACTGAACTGAACCCCCGTAGGCCTGGCCGCATCCCACGCAGCAGGGAGCACAGGCACGCAAGGCTGCGGAGGAAGGACTCTGGACTGTGATGAGGGAGTTCTTAGCAAGGGCGTGACATGATCCTGTTTAGGTTTGGAAAGGTAGGTAAATGGGTGGAGACCGGTGGGCAAACCAAACTTAATCTCATCTAGCCAAGGAATGATGAAGGCTGAGACCAACTGTCCATGCTAGGATGCTGGCAAGGAACAATGTAGGAGCTCCTAACCTAACCCCCTGCCCTTCCCACCTGCACACCTGTGTGCCAGGTTCATCCCCCACTGCTCTGCGGGGTCACTAGCGACGGTGGGCAAGGCTCCTCCTGCCCTGGCCCTGGCCTTGCTCGGGCTCCTCCCCTCACCTGCCACTGAGGCTCTGGTACACCCACTTCCTTGCAGGCTCCTGAAATGCCAGGTGATTTCAGGTTCTGTGATTTGCTCACGCTCTTGTCTTTATCTAGACTGGTCCCAGCAGGATGGAGACATTTAATAAATGGCAGATTATTATTCATTATCTATAATCTGTTTGAACCCATTTATAATATTAGTGTTTTACCAACCACAGTAGGTAAAAAAGCCAGATTTAGTTCTCAGAAAAATATGCCCCTCTCTGGGGCTGCTCAGATCTTGCAGCTGGTCAAGGTGAAGGCACAGACAGTGACATTGAGGAAGGTCTCACAGGCTATTCAGTCAGTCACCTGAGGGGTAAGAATGGTGAGCAGGTGGGGGCACATCACCAACCTGCCTTTACATGGACTGGCACTGTCTCGCCAAATGCAGTGAGCTTGGGAAGATGAATGTACTTGAGGAGAACCACATGAAATGGCATGCTTTCTGTATCATGTATGTTCCACTGTGAACTGCACCATCTCCCCTTTGCTGCCCAGAAGTCACAGAGAGGAGGCCTGGGAAGCTTACTCGAGCTATGCTTGGCCAGGTACTTGTCTTTACACTTCTTCTTCTTCCCGAAGGGACTGCAGCTCGGGGCTTCCCTGGGAGCAGACTGAGCCGCACTTGCCACACGCCTAGTAGGAAAAGATCACCAAGGATGTTGGCAGACACTCACTATGCAAGCCCAGGGTCATTCACCTGTGCTGGGACAGGGCTCAGAGACTCCTTTTCCTTGTACACTAAGCCTCCAGGCAGATCTGCCTTGGCCCCTCCTCTCCCTCTCCCTCTCCCATTGCTTCACTCTCGTTCTGAGACACGTTCTTGGTCTCGAAGGCTCTCTGTCTTTTTCCTTTGGTCTCTCATCTCCAATCAGTGTCTCTCATATGTCTAACATTCTAGTAGTTTCGTTTGATTTCATTAAAAAAAACAACTTGTTGCAACCCACTAAACTGATTTTACACCTCCTTCAATATGGCTCACAATTTGGACATCACTGTGCTCTCAAGATCTCCTATGGGTCCTCCTCTGCCATCTGCTGCTTTGTGACCTCGAGCTCCCAATCCTGCAATGTTCTTCACTAGGTGTTGCCTCTGAAAATGGCCTAGAAGCCAAGGCCAACATGCTTGGACCCTTTACTAGTATCATGCAGGGCTGGAGTTGTATTTCCTTTGTTGCTCTAATTCTAATAGTTTATGTGTATAAAGCACTTCCCATGTTTAGGTGCCATGTTTATGATCTCCTTCCATTGTATCATCCCCGGACATGAGGTCAATCGGAATTTAGCTTAAAACTAAAGGCCTGGTATGTGAAAAACACCACTCGAGGTTGTGATCTTTTCAACAGAGTTAACTTTGCGGAGGGGATGGCCAGTATGGAGATGTAGAATCACTTGGACTTGTGCTGTGTGGAGGTTGCTGCTGCCACTCCTATGGCCCTGTAGTATAGCCTAGGCCAAGTGCGCAACCTGCCTTAAGGATAGGAATTGTCTTTTCTATGTGCCAGGAATTGGCATAAAGGACACATGCTTAAAATGTGACTTTTCTGCAGGACTCAGATGTTCTCAAGAAGGGCACTAGCCTTGGAGGCAGTCCTGTCCTTGTGCTTTGAGGAAACAAAGGCCCAACAGACAAATGAGGAGTTACTCAGGCTCTTGAACCTGTAATGGCCTACCAGTCAAGCTTATCAACTCACTGTCACCCCCACCTCACCCATTAGGCCAAGGAAGCGGGGACACTGACTTGGTCAAGTAACAGAAACTACACCCAAGATGACAAATTTTTTTCGGCTGACCAATTATTTGTGATAGGCATGGTTCCCTACTGCCCTCAGATTCCACCTGTATACAAGTAGCTCACCACTCCTGCAGCTCAGGAGAAGGGATCAATCCTGCTGACTCCTTGGAGGAGCCTTCCACCCGCCCCTGCCACCAGTTACTGTCATCCTTGTTGATGATTTTGATAATGTCTCCAGTAATAAACTTCAGTCCCGCCTCCTTGCAAGGGATCAGGTTGTCCTTTTTGGGATCATAGTCAAACTGAGCTCTCATGAACATCTGAAAAAGAAGGCAAAGGGAACCACAGCAGCAGTTTTAAAAGGAGCACCAGTATCAGCACATGGAAGTGGGAAGTTCTGCAGTCAACAAGTAGGGTCTGAACTGAATGAACAAATTGTTCACAGAGGGTCAGCCTGATACCCCAACAAGAAGGCATGATGGCCTTTCTGGGGCAACAGGCTTATGGTTATTAGGCCTGAGATGTCTGTTCTCGACAAAGCAGCTACTATCTGAAATGCATGTATTTCCTTGGAGAATCTTTTCACAGGTATGTTAAGTAAACTTAACACCAGTTATCTCTGATAGGAACATTAGGTGAGCAAATCCAACCCAAAGAAGGAAGGAAAGAAATAATAAAGAGAAGAAATAAAACAGAAAATAGAGTTCAGGCTGATTAAGAAAACAGAGAACACACATCTTCCCAACAGAAATCCTAGAAATGTTTAAAAGATTATTATAATAAGATGTTATGAACAATTTCAAATGAATGCATTTGAACTGAGTGAACGAAATGACATGCAAAAGAATTCATACTGTATGATTCAATCATCTATATAAATTTCTGTCTCAAACTGGTGGTCACATGCTTGTCTTCAGGTTGTGAAAATTCATCTAGTTTTATATTTATGATTTATGTATGTTGTATGTATGCCCACAAGTACAAAAAGTTAGTTTAAAAACTTTACTTGAAAATCATACCATCATAGTATAAGGAACTTGTGTTACAAATGTCAGAGATACTTTAAAAAAAAAAACAGCTATTTCTTTTTTCCGCCAATGGCTAGCTGTGTAGACTGGGAATGTGCCTACTGCTCTTTATATCACCTGTATTTTCTAGCAAAGTAATTTGTACATGGTAGACTCTCAATAAATTTTGAGTAATTGCTCAAAAGACTCTTTCCTTTGGCACTATTAATCACAGGGCTTACTATCGTTTTTGAAAATATCAATTTGCTTGGTGGCAACTGATATCGCACACATATTTTATTTTGCATTTCTTTGATGACTGGTTAAGACTGGACATTTTTTCATATGTTCAATGCCTATTTGTATTTTTCTTCCTGTGAATGATCTCTTCATTCTCTTTCTTTCCACATCTATTACAAACAGGCAGGCCAAGTGATAGTCAAGCCAGTCAGTGGCCAGAAAGATGCCTGCCTGTTTGTACAGATATTTAGTTCAGAGAGCACTTTTTAGATATTTAAAACTTAAAAGTTAAAGTCCCATCACTTCAATTAAATCTCAAAGGACACACCACAGGACCTGAATCCTGCCATCATCACAACAGAAAATAGCGCCACCTACCTGCAATGCAGGAAGACGATTTTGCTGGTTGGGGATTACTTTTAACGAGATCATTCCTTTGGTTTCTTTCTATTACAAAAGGGGAAATAGAATTGTAAGGAAAACTGACTTGGATGATTTGCTGTCTGGTTGTCTCTCTTTTTTTATGACAGTAGCATATTTTGAAACTCTGACCTCAAACAGCCATGTGACTCTTCAATTCCCTCATCTCGGTCTCAAGTGAAAAACTATGTTCTGGTTCAAATGACACTTCTTCCCGATTTGCTGGCACATAGTAGGTGCTTGACAAATAGCCGAATTTAAAGAGCACACTCAACTTTTCATTTATAATATCCCACTCACTGTTCATAACAAATCTGTGACATAAGAATAGGGATTACTCTCTTCATTGTACAGATGACTCAGAGAACTAAATCCACCTGCTCAAAATTGCAGGGCTAGTATAAAGGAGACCAGGGTTTCAGAGCTGCCATTAAAGACTGAGGCCTTCCAGCATCTAGTCCACTGTTCTTTCTAGGTAGATGCTCTGGGCTATTTGCCTTGTCCTCAAGGTTTACTAAAGGAAAGCAGAGAACTGTCATTTCTTGCACAGAAGAAAGATTAGCAGTGATAAGAGTCCCCTAAAGGAGGTATAAAGACTTGGACAGAAAAGTGAGGTACACTGATACCAACTGGATCCACACATTACAAAGACAGCAGCAGAAGAAATACCCACCATCGCCTTCTGCAGCTGATCTACCGAGTGATTGGTCACATTTGTGCCATTGATTTCTAGGATCTCATCCCCGACGTGAAGGGAGCCTACCATGAAATGAAAAATCAGCCCACAAAAGTATAACACAAGAAAAGAAACCAAGGTCTAGAGCATGTTATACAACAGATTGTGTGAAACACTCAGGATTCAAAACATTCAGCCAGGAGAGAATGGAATGTCTGGATTCCCTTAAGGGATGTGTCAAGGTAATATTATTACCAATATTTATGCTACCTTAGATTTTAATAAGAGGCTTAAGTAAACATAAAAGGGCAGGAGATAATGGAGTAGGACTCAAAGCCTGGGATGAATCTGGTGGGCAAAAACAAGCTATCACCTACTAAAACCATGTCATATCTTAATATATTACTCTGTTCTCTCCTCATTCCCAGAACAGCTTTTACTATACGATGCATCTGAAAATTGATGGTACCTTCACATTAAGGAGATAAAAGTTACTTGTAATTATTTGTTCAATTTCTATTTTCTCAGTTGAACTGTTAGCTCCAGGAGGCAGAGATAGGTCTGTTTTTTTCACTGCTATGTATTCAAAGTCTAATGTAATAGGTCGCATATAGGAATTGCTTAAGTATTAACTCACTGGAAAAATATCAGTATAAGAAGAGTAGAAGAATGCTTGGAGGGGGAGATGGTGGTGGCACTGGGCAAATCACATGAAGACCTGAACACATAATTATTCTAAAAAGCCAGTTATTAAGCCACAAAAAGTCTCTTACCAAACACACAAATGCTCCAAGTTTTGAACATTATAAACGTCATGTTCCTCACCAGCGAACAGGGAGTAGATGACTGATCCCTGAATGAATCCCTAGGTCCTACCTTGTCTATGAATCATGCCACCATGAAGAATTCTTGCCACCGTACATGACTGATTTTCATTCAGCTTCAGAGTGATTCCCTGAAATAAAGACAACGGCAAAGTAAGATTTTGATTTCTTCCTGAGGCGATCTTCAAGAGACAATTTAAGACGACTTCTCAGGAGAACTACTTTCCATCTGTACCTGGGGCGGCCCTCAACCAGAACAGGCCTGAGGCCTGCTTTGAGAAGGAGCCCGAGATGGGGATGGAGAGACAGTATGGGAGCTGGCCGCTTCCTCTTGTAGCCCAGTGACCCATGGGGTCGAGGGTAAGCAGTGGATGAGAATATGGCAAGGGATTACCATGGGCTCCTCTGTGACCTTCTCGAACTGTATGAGTCGCACCTTCCGCACCTCCTGCCCCTTGGCATGGACAGGGCTACCCGGGGTGGCAGACCCATTGGTGTACATGTCCTCAGTCATGGCATTCAACTGGTGCGACACTGCCTGTCAGGTGAAAACAGCAGAGCGGTAGATGAGGCAAGCAGCAGAGGCTGAAAACCCATGGTTACTCCTCAAGTTTGCGTTGATACAAAGTTTTCTGTTAGGTGCTGTTTCTCCAAATTAACTGACGTGCTGCAGAAATGGAGAGTGAAGAAAACAGACCTGCACACAAAGGTGGCACTGTAGTGCAGTGGGACAAGGATGGGCCAACCAGATAAGCATACAGGAAAAATAAATGTTGATTCCCACGTCATTTTATATACAGAACAAATTCCACAAGGATTACAGCCCCAAATGTGACAGGGAAGAAAACCGAGCTCAGCCTCAGACCCTCAAGGTATGCCAAAATGTCTTACATAAAAGATCTTATAAAATGAAAATTAAAAAGACAAACACTTTAAAATTAAGAACATCTGTTCATCAAGCACTCTGCTGATGTAGCTGGAAGTTTGGCGGACACAGAGAGCAATAATCATTAGAGCAAATGATTGACTTCATCAAAACTAAAAAATTCTCATCAAAAGACACTTAAGAAACTAGAAAGGCATAATACAGCTTGCCAGTAAAAACCTGCAGTCCCTATAGCTGACAAAAGACCTGGACCCAGAACATAGAAAGAACTCTTACAACTCAGTAACAAGATCACAGCCATGAAAAGATGAACCAAAGATTCGAACATAGGAGCAGCCAATAAGCCATGTGGCAAACCAAACGAACGGCCTAGGAAACCTCACGTGGAAGTGACGCGGGACACCACGTGCTGGCGCTAGGAGCGCTGAATGCGTCGGCTGCGGGTGAGAAGAGTTCCGGCAGCTTCTTGTAGCAAGTGAGACATACCTTTGCCAGTGGCCCAGCAATCGACTTCTAGGTACCCACCCAAGAGAAAAGGCTTGTACACGAATGATCATCAGAGCTTTATTCATAATAGTTGAAAAGTGGGACCAACCCCAGAGTTCACTTACACTTCATACACACTTACCAATAAAAGGCTCTAGACGCCAATACATGCAGCAACATGGATGGATCTCAAAAGCACTATATTGTGTGAAAGACAGAGCACTACATGGTACAACCTATGAGGTTTTAGAAAAAGGAAAATTCAGCAAAAAAATTCAGCTGTCTCTGATGGGCTGGGAGGGAGCATGATAGAACTGTTTGGGATGCTGATAATTTTCTATGTCATGGCAGGGTTTTGGGTAAGAGCTACTACAGTGGGAAAGGCCAAGTGAAAACCTCTGAGAGTGTCCCCCACTCACCCCAGATAAAATATCAAACAAAAAACACTATGGCCAGCTGGAAAGAAGAGGAACAGGCCTGAGCTTGGTTTCTGGAAGGTCCAATTTGATATTTGGGTACAAGCTGAAAATGGATGGCGGCTGCATTCCAGCCACATGGAAGGGTGTCCCTCAAAGACAGCGGTGAGGAAAGATCTTCCCAACTGGTGGGGCTGTGACTACCACACCTTGTCATCCACATGCCTCTATCCTCCTTGTGTTCCCAAGGGTCACTTCTCCTTCCCCTTGGTGGGAATATCTATCATTTATCTATATCTAGTCACTCATTTTCTTTCTTTCTTTCTCTCTTTCTCTCATTCATTCATTCATTCATTCATTCATTCCTGGGCAGTATTTAACCAAGGACTTAGAGGGAACACAAGGAGGATAGAGGCTTGTGAATGGACACGTGTCTCATAATATAGGGGGCACTCCTTACAAAATAACAGAATGCAACATTTTAATTTTAAATGACTTCATCCTTTCTAAGAGGTCGGTAAGAACTGGTAAAATGGTGAAGTCTGAAGTAGGGTTAGTTATTGGGTGGACTCAAATGAGGGAAGTACTGAGAAAGAGAAACTGCCTTCTGCAGCAACTAGAGCTTCAGAACACTCACATGACAGCAGATGATATGGCACATCAACAGTAGCTGCTTCTCGGGAGAGGGGCTGGGTGGGAAGGAAACTGTTCAATGTGTAGCCACTTAACCCTTCCAAATGATGAGCTATGTACCATGTGTAACTTTGGTGAGAGAATCAGTAAAAGGAAAAAGACAGCACAGACTACAAATTGGAGGCACACCTTCTAACAGAAATATATACAGACCGTCTGGCACTGAGTCCCAGCAAAGTGAGGAGGGAACCAGAAACCCATGAAGAAAAGAACAAAACATAAGGAAGTTCTGTCCCAGAACTTCTCTGCTCACACTGACTGGTTAGAATCTACCTATGGGGAACAAAAAATGAATAGAGAGAGAGCGAGAGCGAGAGAGAGAGCGAGAGAGAGAGTGTGTGTGTGTGTGTGTGTGTGTGTGTGTGTTGACCACATAATTTTGTTCGGTTTGGCCCCCTCCTCCCGTGACAAGCTATCTTGCATCAGACGCTTGTCCTCTGGGCCTGCAGTTCGTGCTCAGCCTCTGCTGTACGTCGCTTCTACGCAGAACAAGGGCTCTGTCCCCGAATGAGCGGCCGTGTTCAGTTTCGCTGGGAGGCTTACTGGATAATTGGAGGAAGGGGAGTCTTTTCAACACACGGTGCCACAGCAGTAAGACACCTATATAGTGGATCATGGATCTCAGCGCAAAGTATAAAACTATGTGGCTTTTCAGGAAAAAACATAAGGAACACTCATCAGGATTTAGAGCTCTTATACCTGGTACTAAAAGCAGGATTCATAAACGGAGAAACTGATAAGTTGAAAATTGCAAACTTTTGTTCTGTGAAAGCCTGTGAGAAGATGATGAAAAGACAAGCTATGGACTGGGAGAAAACATTCATGAACCACACATCCAACAAAACACTAGTATCTAGAATATATAAAGAATGCTCAATATTCAACCATGGAAATAATCCAAAAAATGGGCAAAAGACACGAATAGATATTGCACTAAAGAGGATATGTAAGGAAATGAGAATATGAGATGTTCAACATCATTAGCCATTGGGGGAAATGCAAATTAAAACCATAATAAGATACCATTCGTTACACATCTATCAGAATAGCTAAGATAAAACAGTGACACTACTGCTGGTAGGAATGTAAACAGGCACAGCCATTGGGCAGTTGGGCACTTTCTTAAAAAAGTGAATTGCTGTGTTACAACCCAGCAATGACACCCCAAAATAAATGTTCACGTAAAATCTGTACATGAAAGTTCCTAACAACTTTATTCACAACAGCCCAAACCTGGAAAGAACCAGAATGGCCTCCAACAAGTGAGCAATTCAACAGACTGGGGTGGGGTGGGGGGGTCCATCCATACCATGGAACACTTCTCAGCAATAAAAGGGAACAAACTATTGATACATGCAACAACTTGGGATAGATCTGAAAAGACTGCATACTTACTATATGATTCCGTTTACATAACATTCTTCAGATGAGAAAATTATAAAGATGGAGAAAAGAGTAGTGGTTGCCAATAGTTAGGTACAGTGGGAAGATGGGAGATAGGATGACAAAGAGGTGGTACCAGGGAGGTCTTTCTCTTGATCGTGGTGGCAGTTACATCTACATGTTACAAAATGGGACAGAACTACAGTAACACATCCTACCAATGCCAATTCTGTGGTTTGGATACTGCACTATTGTTAAGCTCCCAGTAGAGTTGAACTTATATATAGAATGAGGAATTCAAGGACCACTCATTGAATGATTGCTGTGAAGAAATGATGCACAAATCTCCAATTTCTGGCCTCAAAGCATGAAATAAAACTCAGGACTTTCCTTTGACCCTGACTTATGAATCACTATCATTTGTGGGGCTGAGAAAGCTGAAAGCCAAACTCAGAAGAAATTAATTCTAGGGGTTTATCAGCAACCACCAGTTACATGTGTTGGTGACTGTAACAGGATAGAGGTGGCCATAAAGTCTGCAACATGGACCATACTATTTTATCTTGTGTTGTAGTAGATCATCAATAAACCACTGATGATGATTCACCTGTTTCCAGACTTGGTAAGGCCCCTGCACAACACTCCCAACAATGTCAGGTTAGGAAGTCTTAGTCCACAAAATACAAAATGACCTCGGAAAGGGGGATAAGCCTATGTGATAGTGTACCTAGAACAGGCAGATAAAGTGGCACCCTTAGCTCATATTCTTCTTATTCAGCTATATTACAAAGATTGTTTTTAACATGTCAGCCTTTAAATTAAGGACTCAGCAAAGCTTACCAGAGGCAGAACACATTCCAGCCAGAAAAGTTCAAGAGTTGCTATCCCAAAGGTTGGTCTTTCAAATGTGCTTATCCATCAAGACGTTCCCCCTTCGCGATGACTCAGAGCCACTATCACATTCACCCAGAAACTGCAAATGATGACTAAGATAAACAGAAACCTCCAACGTGGTAAGTAAAGAACTGACCTGCAACAGTTAGGCTTCAAAAAGCAAAGCATGATTTTCTCCTCACCTTACAGCAAACTCCTTCAACTAGGCCCAGATGTTCTCACTAGACAACTGGAGGAGCAATCATTCACTCACTCATTTATCCAACACAAATGATAACTGGGAAAGATATCTTACATCAGGTTTAAGATTGTCTAAGACTATATGAGCTCCAAGGACACAGAGCAAGGTTGTCAGCCTTCTTCAGAAAAATGGAAAAAAGAATTTTAAAAAATGGAGCCTCACAAGAAGCTTTCTAAATGGCCCAAACTGAGCTTAGGAAAATGAGGAAGGTATTTGCCCAGGTTGACAACTTAAATCTGCAGTCTGTCCCATCTGTTCATCCGTTCACCTGCCACTGTTGGGCCCCTGTGATCTGCTCCAACTTTTGTTTCCACAGCTGGTCATATATTCCAGTATGCTATATATATTTACTGGTTCATACCGTTAATCTGGTCTCCCCAAGCTGGACTGTAAGTCCCACACAGGCAGAATCATCATCTGTGTTGACTGAAATCAACACAACTGCTGTATTTAAACAGAGACATGGTTCATTCCTAGTCTTTCTGAGGCTCCGATTAAAGTGCTTTCAGGCCCCTTCGTTTGGAGACATCTTGAATACT